GCGCGCTGTGGATGGGCTCGGACTGTACAGAAGAGTTCTGCCCCAATGTAAAAAAGGCGGGTGCCCCGGGGAAGTTGCAATAACATGCCATGATTAACGGCCCCGCCAGCCTTATGCTGGCCGCTGTGGCACTCCACTTGAAAGGTAACAAGGAAAGGTTTGGTGCCCCCAGGCCCGTAAATTAGCGAGTCAGCCGCAAGAGAGCGGGCCACTCTGTTTGTCTATCTTGGCTGGTGCTCGGATATTGAAGTGTCGGCCGTGTTGGCCTTCAAGCTCTTCGCTAAAGTTTTTACTCAGAAGGACTGGTCCCTCGGGTTTGAGTGTGTTTTCACACCGCAAAGAAACGTGCAACAAAACTTCCGAGCCGTCTGGTGCCGCGTCAACTGTCCTTTGTAGGAGGTTTTCCCTTTGTCCCACGCCTTGCTTGGCCCATCTGCGTGGCCTTTGTCTTCTCGGTCTCCCGGCGTTGGCTCTGTGCCTCCTTCGGCTTCTTGGTTTTGTGTTGCAGGGTGTGCCCTACCAAGATGCCCGTGTGAGCTGCATCCGGTCTCCTTGACGCTTCCTGTAGGAGCTGCTCCTCCACGCGCTTGGCTCTGGTAGAGTACGCAAGGTGGCCCCCCGCGGTCGTGGCTGTAGTGTTTGCCCCCTACTCCTTTGCTGACTCCGAGTAGGCACCTAAGGCAAACGCGCTGGCTATCCACAAAGACTGGGTCTGGCACCTTCGCTGGTTTGCAGGCTTTCGTCTCAACATCGTCGTCATCCTCTGGCTTTGCGTCGTCGTCGGCCGTAGGTGTTCTCCGCATTCGTGGTGTCCCTGCCACTATCACGTTCTTTCCGGCCTCGGTGTCCCTCGCCCAGTCAGGTCCTTCGGTTGCGTCTTGTCGGGGTCGCCTTCGAGGAAGAGGTGGTCGTTCAGCGAGATCTCGCTGTCCCCTTCTTGAGCGATGTGGTATCCCCTCTGGTGGTGCATCTTCACTGGGAGGTCCGCTGTCACGTAGTATGCTGCCCCTCCCTACTACCGGGCCACCTCCGGAGAGGGCCGGGGTCAGGAGAGGTCTTCGCGAACCCTGGGGCACTTGCGAGCCCGACATGTTGCAGCATGTGGGCCTCAAGCCACCCCCCGCCCCGACGCGTCCACCCCCAAGACCGCAGAGATCACCCTCTGCGGCCTCAAAGGGCCAGCCGGGAGCGCCCTACTCCCGAAGGAGCAGAGAGGCAGATGACTTGAGCCAAAATGGCTACTCTCGCTCTCGCTCTCGCTCTCGCTCTCTCTCTCTCTCTCTCTCTCTCTCTCTCTCTCTCTCTCTCTCTCTCTCTCTCTTTGTCTACGAGGGGAGCCCTGGAAGCGTCCAGCTCAGGCACTCCGGGCGCGACCTCCCCTCTCACTCTCTCTCCCAAGGTTCGAGACCCAAAGGACTCAGGCCCTCTGTCTCTCTCCTTTGTTCATTCCTTGTCTATTGCTTGGATAAGAGAGCAAGTGAGCTCATGTGCCCCCATATCGGTGCCTCTTGGAGTTCATTCAAAAGTAGGTGTGCTTCGCATGCAGGAGACCCGCGTCAGCTCATGAACGACGCCCACGAACAACAAGCGCACGAAAGGCAGGTTTCAATTTGGCGAGTCCATGCTTCGGCGACCAGACACAAAACAGCAAAAACTCGATAGCATCACAGCTTGTTGGGGCTTTGTGCGTTTAAACACGCTAAAACTAGAACATAAAGATTCGCTCTAGGACATCCAATGTGGATGATGATATCGCCACCACCATGGACCAGCATCATCATCACCAGGAGCCTGAAATCCTCCTCGATAACCGTTCAACAACTTGAGGGGCCAGCTCTGAGCACATGTAGATCGGCAATTGCAGCAGCATCCAAGAGCGCTTGGCCTTAACCACAAACGTTGGGAACGTCTGCTGCCACATGCTGCCACCATCAAGGGAAGCTGCGACAAACCACGGCAAAGCGATGTCTTTCCCTCTACAGGCGGTGAGTCAAAGTTACGAACTGCATCCCAAGATCACGAGGCCAGCACGCTGAAAATCAGCGAAATAGGATGGGACAGCGATGACTGCCTCGGCAGATCAGAACCAACAGGCAGTCTCTCTGCAAAACAGCTACACTCTGACCAAGAATAAGAATGGAAGCATATCCCGGGGATCTCAGGGAGATGGAGCTATTGAGGTCAACTTGAGGCATCCGCGTCAGCCACTTTTGCTCCACACCATGCCTCACACAAGCTCTGCGACATGCTCCCAACGAAACACAAACTGTTGAAATCTCGCTGCATGGCCTCCGTCACCTGCTTCAGCTTGGTTAGGAACATGGCTGTAACCTCGAGATGCAGCATGAACAATCAGACAGCATCCAAAGCCCATGACAAGATTCTTCCACCTCAGTCGCCGAGAATTGTGTCGTCTCACCCTTGTAGCTGACTGAATAGCCTGCGAAGCCATCCTGCAACCGAGCACTATCAGTGTCCCCAGCTTTGAATCGAAACTGTGACCATGTGGCCTCTGTTTGCACTAGCGGACAAGTTGACCAAAACCTCGGTGCGACAAATGTAGGCGAACGGCCGAAAACCCCCTTCTGGCACTTGCGAATGCTACAGAACATCGCAAAATTCAGCTGCTACCGGCTAGGCCCTGACTTCTCTGCATCGACCGCAGGGGAGTCGAACCTCTACCGTTAACGTGATTGCTTGGTGAATACGTGTCTCGTGTCCAACCTCTGGCCCAGTAGGTGCTTGAAGTTTCGACCTCATGTAGATCGATGCGACGAGTAACGATTCGGAAGGTGCACTGTGAGCTGTCATAGTAGCTTTCGGTGTTCATGCTGTCCAGGTGGTACTCGATGCCGAGGGCACTGCATGTATTCTTGGCGTTCGACCTCTCAACGTGGGTGTGCACAAAATGCGGAAGCAAATTCACACGCCGCATGAGCTCATATGTTAAATGCGACTCCGTCGACTTTACTTGCCGGGCTCACTTGATCTGCGACAGCGCAGTGTCTCCGAGAAGACGCTCTCTGTCGGTGAACCCAACCTCATAGTCATGTCGCGAAGAGAGAGGTACACAGAAGTATCAGTAGGCGTAATCAGCATGCAGGAGTGCCCTGTGAAGCGTCCGGCCAAACTGGGCGTCTTCCTCTGGGAAACCTCTCCGATGCGCCGAGCTGTCGTGTCACTGACTGGTTTTTGCAGAAGGATCCTTTTCATGGCCGATCACTGGCGAAGCGCGAATGCTGCGCGGCGCATCAGGGTGGAGAATTTTCCATTGCCCTTTTTTTTTTTTTCTTGGCCCTTTTTTTTTTTTTGGCCCTGGGCTCCTGCGTTCTCCGTATTTGCCGCATGCGTAGTAGTAGTAGTAGTAGTAGTAGTAGTAGTAGTAGTAGTAGTAGTAGTAGTAGCAGTAGTCGTAGCAGTGGTAGTAGTAGCAGTGCTAGTAGTAGTAAGGAGTAGTAAGGAGTAGTAGTAGTAGTAGTAGTAGTAGTAGTAGTAGTAGTAGTAGTAGTAGTAGTAGTAGTAGTAAGTAGTAGTACGTAGTAGTAGTAGTCGTCGTAGTAGTAGTAGTAGTGTAATAGTAGTAGTAGTAGTAGTAGTAGTAGTAGTAGTAGGTAGGTAGTAAATAGTAAGTAGTAAGTAGTAAGTAGTAAGTAGTAGTAGTAGTAGTAGTAGTAGTAGTAGTAGTAGTAGTAGTAGTAGTAGTAGTAGTAGTAGTAGTAGTAGTAGTAGTAGTAGTAGTAGTAGTAGTAGTCGTATAGTAGTAGTAGTAGTAGTAGTAGTAGTAGTAGTAGTAGTAGTAGTAGTAGTAGTAGTAGTAGTAGTAGTAGTAGTAGTAGTAGTATAGTAGGAGGTGCGAAACGGACTGCGATGCCTTGTCAAGTTCTAAGGTATCACTATAAGAGCTGTGAGCAAGACCGTGTAAAGTGCAAGAGAAGGGGGCACGCTACGCGTCCCTCGACTCTAGGGGGCATGCTACGCATCCCTCATCTTTACCTTTCTATGTGACCGCCAACGCAACGTTTGGCTCAAGTCAATGCCCATAGCTAAGTGCTATATGTGTCTTCTATCCTGAGCAATCAGAGCTATCCCGTTGCACAGACGAACCGCCGCCGGCAGTGAGTGCAAAAGGAACGGCCGCCGGTTCTGCCTGCATAGGATTGCACGTGTGGAAGTAAGAGGGAGAGACAGGGTCCAGTCTGTGGAGAGTGCTAGCCAGCCACACCTACATTCATTACAGCTCTGGTGGGGAGAGCAGCAACCAAGTCGAGATCAATCCCCCACGCAGGTTATCAGCCGTACGCGGCTCTGCCTTTCTACAGCAACGACTACTTGATCTACTACGACCACAATGAACTCAGGATCAAGCCAAGATACGACAATGACTTTCGGTGCCGATGTGGCAGCGCCAGCCGTTGGTGAGTCAACAGCTGACGACACAGTGGTGCAATCCGTTGATAGCTCCACGGAAGATGACAAAGGTCAATCTTCTGCGCTTGCCATTGCAAAGGCAGTTCCCAAGGGGAAAGCAAAGAGTCTACCAAGAGCATCTACGCCTTCGCGTCCGACATCCACAGGTTCGAGGACGGGCAAGGCTTCAGAACGACGGGCCGAAGCGTCTGGTTTTCAGGCACCTCGGACTACGTCCAGGGCCAAGGACAAAGGAGTCAAGACCTTGGAAAAGAAGTCAAGACCATCATCTTCGAGAAGCTCTTCAGCACGATCGAGGACTTCGGCTACTCGTGGGCGTGACAAGTCCATGACTTGGAATCGGATGGTTACCAATCAACCACGCGATGCTGACGATCTGGACATGACTCTGGATACGATTCCTGCACGTGGTGATGCGTCATCCGTGGCCACGCCTGCAATAGCTGACGGTCCGAATGCCTACCAGGAACTGACGATTTCGCAACAGTTCGAAGCATCGAACCTTGCACAGCAGATGTACTATCGCAGTCAGGTGCAAGAATACGAAGGAATCGTCCAGACCCTGATGGACAAGATCAAGGAGATGCAACAAGAAGATGAAGGATCTGGAATTCGCATTGAAGAATTGGAACGACAACGTGACCATGCATGCTTAGCCATGAGGCACATCAACAATGTCAATCAGGAGATGAAGCGAGACTATGAAACAGCTTTGTTTCGCATGGATGAGCAGAACTCTGCTCAACAACGTCAAGCACATGCCGTTGCCGAGGATTTAGCTCAACAGCTACACGTGTTCCGCACGGAGGCAGCCACCAACTTTGTGCAGTTGGAGGCAAGAGCGCAAGGCGATGGTGAGCTTATGGCACGTGAGTATGAGCGTCTGACTCATGAACTTCATGAACACGCCAGAGAGAACTTGGTCCTCCGGTCAAACACAGCAAGTTCGGAACAAGCCTTACAAGCAATGCAGGAACGATTCCACTTGGTCAAGAACCAGGAGTTGCGGGCTGTGAACGAGATCCAAGGGCTAGCTGGAAACAGCGCAGCCATTGAACAAGAACGATTTCGGCTTCGCGAACGTCTTGGTGAAGAGGAAGAGTACCGCAAAATGGCTGTGAAGAGGATGCAAGAAGCAGAGGATCGACTTCATCATAATGAAGATCATGCAAGGCGATCATTGCCTACCTTGCACGACGAGCTGAGTGAACTCAGGAAAACGCTCAAAGCACAAGAAGATCTTCAAGCGAGGACACGCAGCGAATTGGAGGCAGCGCGAAACTCCAATCAAGGAGGAGCGACGCGACCTTCGAGCATGCCCATGTCTTCGAGGACTACTGAGTCTGGCTGGGAGCACGTAGGAAAGGAAGTAATGCCTGCATTTTCCGTAGGAGATGAGGTACGATCCCCTGAAATACGGTCCCCAAGTCAAGTTAGTCCAGTCGCCAAAGAGAAGTTCGCATTCTCGGAATCGGACAAGGACAAGAACCTTGTGATGGATGGAATTCCATTCACCGGTGGAAACTTCTTCACTGGCCGCAGTTCAATGCCAATCGTGGCGGATGCAATGCCCGAGCACTACGTGCCAGGTGTTAGCAGCCCAGCACTTGCGCGTTCCACGCCTAGTGCAGCCACTTTGTTCGGCATACCAAGCGGATTTCATGGGAAAAGTGATGCGGCAGCCGTGCGTGATCGACAGCTACGCGAACTCTTGGGGGATCGCGGGATGTTGGGATCGAAGTCCACAGCATCGGCCAGCTCCTCAAGACCTGTTGGCATCGACGGTGTTACCGCATCTACGAAGGGCAACGACCTCATCGGTCCCCCTATTGCCTATGACGATTCCATTCATGAAGCAAGAAGACGTCAGATCGAGAAAGAGATCGCGGAACAGTACGAAGAGAAGATTGCTGATCTGCGAAGTGAAGTACTCAAGGCTCAGAAAGCCGAACAACGTCTCAGAGCTGATCGTGATGAGTGGAGATTATTCGCTGAAACGATTCAGGAAAACCATGGAGACGATGACGGTGATGAAGCTGGCGACGAGAACGGAGAGGACGAGCATGATGAAGGAACCGGCACGGGGTATGATCCTCCAGATCCGCCTGATGATGATGATGACAAGAAGAAGGGCGGAGGGGGCAAACCTGAATCGGATCCTGGTTCGCATGCACGCGATCCTGATGGAGATGCGGATCCTGAAGTCACAGAGGTGAGAATTTCCAGGAGGGAAGCGACAAAGTGACCGTTCCTCCATGGCCTACTCTCACTCATCTCAACAACTGGCGATCCGTGTGCACGGCCAATGTCTTAGGGGCATCAGCCGACCCACATCATGAGGACTGGATGTTATGGCTGGCACCAGCGTTCAACCCATTCCCTGATGTCGAAGCATTGAATGATTCAGGACACAAGAAGTTCAAGAGCATAGACGTCAAATTGGGGATCGCCATGGTCGCAATGCTACGTGCCGGTGGTGACAAATCAGCTGACCTGTACCTCGAGGTGAACCGGAAGGCCAATGATTACATCAGCAGGCCTGACGTGAAGATCATCAAAGGACGACAAGTCATCGCGATGATGTATGAAAGTTTTCGAACGCATGATCGTCTTGACATGATCATCACTCTTGAGTATTTGGTGAAGCTCCAGTACCAAGGCGACAACAAGCTTCATACGTTCAAGCAGACGTGGTTGGAAGTTCTGGGACGGATGAGACCAGAGGACATTCCATCCAAAACAGCTCTCCGTGATTGCTTGTACAGCAAGATCAAGGACTCGCCCGCAATGAAGATGGACTTGGGCATGCATTACGAACACTTGCCCTACAATCATGAAGACCGATCGTACGACAACCTGATGAAGATCATTGATCGTACTATCATGCGGAGACGAGAACAGTCAAATCTCACTCAGACCCAAATTGGCTTGCGCCAGATGCTTGAGGGCAAGGATTTGCTTGCTGCACCGGCCAAGGTACCCGAGAAACCTACGCCTAACGCAGCTCCATCCGCAAAGGTCAAGGCTTCGCCGACCAAACCGGATAAAGCAACACCTGTACTACCTCAAAGCAAAGCGAAGAGTCATGCGAAGACCAAGCCAAAGCCTAAGAAGAAGACGAGGAGTGAGTCAGCGGACAACAGAGGTGACAAAAGCAAGAAGCAAATCCGCTGTAAGTTCCATT